TTCTCAAACATTTGCCTATTTCCCTAATCCTCTCCTTGCATCATAAAATAATGAAAACTGCGTAGAGATACAATAATGTTGTATAAAAGGAAAATGGCAATTGCAGAAATTCTCTGGATGGTAAACAAACAAACAAACAAACAAACAAACAAACAAAAAACCCATCATTTAAAACAGAGAACTTTGAGAAAGACATTGTTGGGTGAGTTAATGATGTCCAATGGCCAATGACATGAACAGTGAGGAATGGGTACTATGTGTGTTCTTCACGTGAACTGTACTTCACACCTGGGTGGGTTTTGGTGATATGAGAAACCCAGTTTTTACAAACCATGGTTAGTAGCCTCAAGGACTGTCCCATTTAGAGTGGTTTCTGCAGCACACTGCATAATGTGATAATTAACTTTTTCAACACTTGAGGTGGTCTGAAGACTGTCCAGATGCAAGATTATCTGAGCTGACAAGGTGTTATAGTTCACTCTCATTTCTGGAGGGAGTCCAGGTGGTGCAGCTGACATGCTGTCTTTTACCAAGAGATCTGATCTGACTCAACTGTATCTTGCTAATGGTTCTTCCAATGCTTGTGTAGATTTTCAGCTTTGTTTTCCCTTTAGGTGATAGAACAACTCCTGTGTAATTTTTTCTCTCTTCTTGGGACTGAGTAAAAGACAAATAGTGTGATTTCTCTGCTAAGATTTGTAGTTCTGTTTTACTGGCCTATTACCAAGATTTATTATTCAGTGATTTCTTTCAGGAGGCACATGCCAAGACAGTGAACCAGCACTCCCGTCTTCCAGAAAATATCTGACACAAACCCACTCAAATAAATGAGTATTCTGAACTTGATGGGCTCATCTGCCAGAATAGCAAGAGTGTGTGCCAGTACATGCTGCCACTCTGATGGCCATTGCAGAGAGAATTGTGAAGCACTGTTTCCACTACCACAGTCCTTTCCAGAGGTCAATTTTCACCCTCTTCCCACTTTACCTAGCAAATGGTACTGTGGGTGGTTTGTAAATAGCTCTACTAGGCTGATAATAAGTGTAGGCTATGAATGTTAGTATCACATGTCACTTGTCTAAGCACTGGCTCTATAAAAATTTATTCCATTATTAAAATATTACTTATTTTGTAATACCAATAAGTCCAAATGATAAACTGCATATATATATATATGTATGTATATATATATATGTATGTATATATATATGAAAGTTAAATTCCAGGAAGTAAAATTATTACTTCCTTGTATGGTTAGTACCTTTTCCTTTCTGAGAAATCATGTGTCTTCATTTTAAAGTGAAGGATAGCATGGCATTTTTATAAGTATATGTGGGGGGCAGTGTGTGTGTGTGTGCATGTGTGTGTGATTGTGTACATGTGTATGTTTGTGCCTATATGTGTATGTAGGCATAGAAGTTGATTGTATCTGTCTGAAGTGCTTTTTTGTTTTGTTTTTTTTGTTTTGTTTTGTTTTGTTTTTATTGCTCTCTACTTTATTTTGAGACAGGGTCTTTCCCTGGACTCAGCACTTGCTGATTATGGTTTGTCTATCCAGCTAGCTTGCTTTGTGGATTTCTTGCCTCTGTCTCTGGAGTGATGAGATGAAGGAGCCCCTATAGTCCAGTTTTCACTTCTCATCTCTAGTCCTCAGGCTAAAGCGCTAAACCGTCCCTCCAGTGCAGTTGCGGCATTTTTGTAAAGAAAGCGCATTTGCATTTGTCTGTTCTCTGTTCCTATGAAAGAGTACTTGAATCTGGGTAATTGACAGAGAAAAGACATTTATCTGTGATCACATCCTGAAGGATAAAGAGCCTGGAATTTGTATTTGCTCAGAAGGTGAAGGAATGTGGCAATGTGAAAAGATTTAAGGAAGAGAGAAAAAGAGAGGGCTCTGGACTATTCTCCAACAGCCCATGTTCAGTTACTGACCCAGTCCGACAAGGTGTCTAATTTTGTGACACTTAATCCCATGTAAGTAAAACTAATGCTTTATTTTCAAGAAAAATACTAACCCACTTACAAGAGTGATAGCTCCAAACTTAACAGTTTTTAATAGGCTGCATCTGTTAAGTGTCCCCTGTAAGGGCATTTCACTTTCTATGACTTTCATGTCATTGTGAAGAGAATTAATGGATAGTAAGACTAGAACCTTGTTACTACTTGTAGCTCAAAAGACAGTGAGATGTTCTTATTGGAGCACCTAATATCGTAAATATCTAATGTGCATAGGAGTGAATAAAACAGAGACTGTACATAATCTCTGTACAGTGAAGATACAGTTGAGACTATTTATGAATGTATTATTTCTGAGATGAATTCTTCTAACTCCTCTGCAAGAAAATATTATCAAAATATTTGAAATGCAGTCAGAAGATCTGTTTGGTATTAACATATGAGTGCTGCTCTGGTTATTAGCCTGCTTTCACCCTTTTGTTCTGCATGAAGACACACACTTACTATCTGGCTTTCATTTTCTCACCATTAACAAGAAAATAAAAACAGAACATTGCAATTTATCGTTTACATTTTTAAATGTTTACTTTATTGCAAGCTTCCAAGATTAGTTTTTCAAAGATGTTGTAGAAAAGAATTCCATTTAAAAAGTATCCTACTCTACTTTTCATGCTAACACTGTATATGGTAAGCATTATGTTGTTTTCATGCAAACAGCTTCAAATGGGATTCCACTTATAGCTATTTGTCATATATTAGGAAGAAATAGGCAAGGCATTGTGTTCGTTCCCAATTTAGTGAACTGCTTTAACTAACTCCATTTTCCCCAGGACTAATCCAATAAACATTAGTTTTTGCTAGAACATTCATTTATAATTTGATTTTCCCAGCATGTAAGATACTTTCTTGGGTAAATTAAGGACATGGAAGTTAGATCTGTTTGTTTTGTTTTGTTTTTTTTTTTTTTTCAGTTTATGGTGCATTGAAAAGATATTCTGTTACATTGCATAGTTCTCATGAATATTAAAAAGATACAGTCAGTTATCCACATCTGTGGCTCTGTGGCTTATATATCCACAAATTTAACTCAGAGCAGAAAGAAAATATTTAGTACAAAGAAAAATCTTCCTATACTGAACATGTGTAAACATTTTCCTTAAATAATACAACTAAAGAACTATTTATGTTGCATTAGCCATTTTAAGTCACCAAAAATTGACTTTTGGTATAAATAGAAATGATTAGGTTTCATGAAAATTCTGTATTGTTTTATATAAGGTAGTTTCTGCAGGTAATTTCACAGGAAATATTAATCACTAAGGATAGACCTATGAACAGTGTATGCCCAACACAATACAAACTGAATGGTATTTTTGTAGATTTTGTGTGTGTGTGTCATAATGTTTTCTTCAGACATTTTTTTAAATATTATTTGCAGTTTATTAACTTTGTATCCCAGCTGTAGCCTGCTCCCTCATTCCCTCCCAATCCCACCATTCCTCCCTCATCTCCTCCCTGCCTCTTTCCAAGTCCACTGATAGAAGAGGTCTCTTCCCCTTCCATCTGACACTAGATTATCATGTTTCTTCAGAATTGGCTTCAATGTCCACCTCTGTGGCCAAGCAAGGCTGCTCCTCCCTCAGGAGGAGGGGAGGTCAAAGAGCCAGCCATTGAGTTCATGTCAGAAATAGTCCCTGTTCCCCTTACTATGGGAAACACACTTGGATACTGAGCTACCATGGACTACATCTGAGCAGAGGTTCTAGGTTATATCCATACATGGTCCTTGGTTGGAGAAACAGTCTCATAGAAGATCTCTATGTCTTGATATATTTTGTCCTTGTGGAGCTCCTGTCCTCTCCAGGTCATAGTAACCCACACTACTTTCATATGATTCCCTGCACTCTGCCAAAGGTTTGGTTATGAGTCTCAGCATCTGCTTTTTTTGTTTGTTTGTTTGTTTATTATTAGTTACATTTTATTAACTCTGTATCCCGCTCCCTTATTCCCTCCCAATCCCACCCTTGCTCCCTCAGCTTCTCCCTGCCCCTTTCCAAGTCCACAGATTGGGGAGGACCTTTATTAAAGTTCATTCACTTTGTATCCTATCTGTAGCCCCCTCCCTCATTCCCTCCCAATCTCACCCTTCTTCCCTCCTGTAGTCCCATTCCCCTCTCCAAGTCCACTAATAGGTGAGGTCCTCCTCCCCTTCCATCTGACCTTAGCCTATCAGGTCTCATCAGGACTGGCTGCATTATCCTCCTCTGTGTCCTGTTAAGGCTGCTCCCCCTCAGAGGGAGGTGATCAAAGAACCAGATGAGTTTATGTCAGAGAGTAAGTCCCTGTACCCCTTACTAGGAAACCTACTTGGATACTGAGCTGCCATGCGCTACATCTGAGCAGGGATTCTAGGTTATCTCTACGCATGGTCCTTGATTGTTGTTATCAGTCTCAGATAAGACCCCAGGCTCAGATATTTTGGTTCTGTTGCTTTCTTTGTGGGGATCCAGTCCCCAGAAGCTACCTTTTATATCTAAGGACCTTGTCCAAATCTCAGCTTGAACAGTTACTGCATCTCCACTTGGATACCTGGAAGTGTACTGTAGCTCATCCTTAATATCACCTCATAGTTTTAATAAAGATGTTTCTTATATTTTGTAGTTCTTGTATATTTTCCTTAACCTTAAGCAAAAGTATTAATAAAGCATTTGAAGTAGAGAAAAAACTGTGCTGTCTTTCTCAAATTTACTAACTTAAAAACAAGATTGGCTTACAGAAATAGTAAATAAAAACTTCCCATCAACATTAATGTCATTTAAAGTGTGGGTTATATCTCATGTATTTTGTGAAGATATCTGTACTGGGTTGTTATAATGCAAAGTGTAGCCTTAATGATAAGGTTTAAAAAAGTGAGCAGTTTCTCACTCTGAACAATTTTTCACATTCTTTTAAAATCTTGTGCATTGAACTCATATCAATTCTGATGTTAATAGCATGCTTGATTTGTCATTTGATTTTAAGGCATTACTTTATCTTTGGGCAACAGATATTCCACATGACATATGACCTGGCCAGTGCAGTGGTGAGAATCTTCAACCTGATTGGTATGATGCTGCTCTTGTGTCACTGGGATGGCTGTCTTCAGTTCCTGGTTCCCCTGCTGCAGGACTTCCCTCCAGATTGCTGGGTTTCTCTCAATGAAATGGTGGTAAGTGACTCATGCTGCTTATTTTCTGAATTCTCAACATTGTGCTCCAAACTTCAAAGTGTGTCTGCTGGAGGAGTCTGCTTTCTCTTCCATAATGGCTTTTCCATGGATGTGAAAAGGAAACATATTATCTATAACTAAACTTTATTCTTCTGTTCCTGGGGATGTGTAACTGCTGCACCTATCTTTGTATATTTTACTTTGAAGACTGAAATATACTTTATTTGAGTGATGTAAGCACACATACATAACCATGATAACACTTTGTCCTTTCAAATATTTTTTATGTTTGTTATTTAGGTATATATGAAGTTCAAGGAATTCTCAGTGTATTTTGTCATTAGAACAAGGAAAATTTAATATGAAAGATAAACTTTAATCTTCATTTTTCAGCATAGGTAAATATTTTTAATTTAAAATTTGAGCTTATTTAACCAAATATATATTAATATAAAGTCTTAAGGGAATATGCATTGATATGAGATCTTATACTATTCTGGTTCTGTCCTTCATTTCATTCACATCTGCTTAAATACTGCTTCCTCAGAGACCTTTCTTAAGAACCTTTAATAAGCCAGGCATGATGGTGCAAGGCTTTGATCCCAGTACATGATGAGGCAGACCTCTCTGAGGTTGAGACCAGTGTGTTCTAAAGAGGAGTCCAGGGCATCCAGATTAATGGCTAGTCTCACCAACAAAAACATAAAAGGAATAACAGGCTTCCAAAGAGATATGATTTAATGTAATATGACATAATATAATATAATGTAATATTTAATAAAACAATTGCTAACACATCAGAATTGGACAAGAAAAATAACTCAAAAGACAAGGCACCAGTAACATTCACACACTCAGGAATCCCATTGAAACACTAAACTGGAAATCAGAGGGTTATGACTTCCTGTATGTTAGAAAGAGAAAAAAATAAAAAAAGAAAAACAAAAATATAAAACACTAAGATTTTTTTTTTTAAGAAAAGTTAAAGACTTGGTACAGCATTATGAGACATGGAAAGTTATAAGATACTGTTGAGTTCATTTTGTATTGGCGATCTACTGCTGGGCATGCAGACTACCCTCAAGAGAAATTTGTTTATATCCAGATTCTACTGATGGGCAATAAATGTTGAATTTTATTTATTTGCAATTCAATTCCTGGTTCTTTCATGGTTTTGCTTTGGTTCTTTTTAAATGTAATTAATTTAAGCCATAAAATTATTTTTTTCAAATGTTGAATTAATAAACAGTAAAAATACTAAACAAGAAAGAAAGAAACAAACAAACAAAAATCAAAGAAACAAAGAAAGACACTGGCTTGTCCTATGTCCCATGCCTTACATGACAACAACTTTAAATTTTTGTGAACCAGTTGATGAAACATCCTACCTCCATTTTAGGCTTAAAAGCGATCTTCTAGTAAAGACAAACTAGGTTCATTCCTGTTTATGATTAAATCTGTTTCTCAGGGATTGAGCAATGCTCTATCTGTAATCTTAACTACAAATGGTTCTTCACTACCTGTTCCAGGAAATGGTAACCATGTCTTTATTCTAAATTACCATCTTGCAGTCCCACCTATGTTTCAAAACGTTGTTATGGCTATCTTGTTAGGACCATCTCAGGAGGTCATTATGACCAACTTGTTACGTTTATGTTCTGCTCCTGTAAACCCACCTATTTTGTCTGCCAAATCTCGCATTTGCAAAGCCTCTACCCCTGAGCTATAAGAACTGTGACTTCCTCACATCCAAAGCTGACCTCTAGAATCCCACCTTAGAAGGAAGGTAGACCACGTACATGAATAATTTTTTTTTTCTTGAGTACTTTGCAAAGAGTACTTTGCTTCCCCAGTGAGACTCTTTTGTGGGAAACTAAATTTTTAATTTACATTCATTATCTATTGGAGATTGTGTCTGTGTTAGGAATAGGGGTATATGTCCACACCTTTCATTTCTAGGACCCCACTGGGTGCAGACCCGTCTAGGACTTGTGCCTTAGCCTCTGAGTTTATATGTGCATGGATCCTGTTGATTTAGAGGCCCCTTTCTTTGTGTCCTCCATCCCTCTCTAGCAATTACACTATTTCAGCCTCCATTTCCACAGGGTTCTCTGATCCCTCAGGGGAGGGATTTGGTGAAAATATCCCAGTTAGAGCTTGAGCCTTCCAAGATCTCTCACTTTATGAATTATATCTGCCTGTGGATACTCAGTATTTATGCCTATCTGCTACAAGGAGAAGCTTCTATGATGGTGGCTGAGCAAGGCAATGATCTATGAATACAGCAGAATGTCATCATGAGTTTATTTATTGCTACACTTTTTTTTTATTAGAACAGTAGTATTTGGTTTTCTCATAGGTTTTTTAAATTACACTTTATTCATTTTGTATCCCCCCATAAACCCCTCCTCCTCTCCTAATCCCACCTTCCTTCCCTCTTCTTCATGCATGCTCCTCCCCAGTCCACTGATAGGGGAGGTCCCCCTCTCCTTCCTTCTGATCCTAGTCTATCAGATCTCATCAGGACTGGCTGCATTGTCATCTTCTGTGGCCTAATAAGGCTGCTCCCCCTTTAGGGGGAGGTGACCAAAGAGCAGGCCAATCAGTTCATGTCAGAGACAGTCCCTCTTCCCATTACTATGGAACCCACTTGGACACTGAACTTCCTCGGGCTACCTCTGTACAGGGGTTCTAGGTTATCTCCAAGCATGGTACTTGGTTGGAGTATGAGTCTCTGGAAAGACCCCTGTGTTCAAAATTTCTGGTTCTGTTGTCTCCTTGTGGAGTTCCTGTCCTCTCCAGATCTTACTATTTCCCACTTCTTTCATAAGATTTCATGCACTCTGCCCAACAGTTGGCCATAAGTCTCAGTGTCTGCTTTGATAGTCTGCAGTGCAGAGCCTTTCAGAGACCCTCTGTGGCAGGTTCCTAACTTTGAGCTATCTCATTTCAGGATCTTGGCCACTCAAGCAATGTGGGTAATAAGTCCCGTGTCATGGAATTGGCTTTATTTCAAATCAGATATAAGTTGTTATCTTAGGGTTTCCATTGCCATGAAGAGAAACCATAACCAAGGCAACTCTTTTTTTATATTATATGAAAATTCTCATTTATAAATAAATTTCTCAACTTTTATCACAGTGATGAAAACTAAATAATAGAATTATATATCCAGAGATTCAATCTTAGACCAAACTACTTCAGGCAAAATTTTGTTTCTCTACTTTACATGTACTGACATTTTCTTATTATATTTTATTCCTTAAAAAAATATGTCACACACTTAGCAGACTTATTACAGTGTAAATATTATGTAAGTAATCTAGAGAAGCTTTAAGGTAACCAAAACAGCATGCATTACTTTTAAATTCTACATTCTCATATGATAAGGATTCATGCATCATTGTATTTTTATATGAATATGAGGTCTGGAATCTATTCCACAGAGGTTCCAAAGAATGGTTCTATGTGTGATTACATCTGAATCCAAGGCAACACTTATAAGAGAAAACGTTTAATTAGGGCTGGGTTAAACTTTCATGATCCAGCCCTTTAGCATCATGACGGGAAGTATGACAGTGTGCAGGCAGACATGATGCAAAAGAAGTCGGAAATCTTTTGTCTTTACATCCTGATCTAAAGACAAAAAGGGGGAGATTGGATGTGCTTCACACTGGGTATAGCTTGAGCATTTAAAACCTCAATGTCCTGCCTCCATAGGACATTGCTCAAACAAGGCCATACCTCCTGCAATAGGGCTATACTTTCTATTAGTGCCACTCCCTATGGCTAGGCACTCAAACTTATGACTCTATGAGGGGCCATACCTATTCAAACCTCCACAGTTGGTTATTCCCATGAGATTTGTGCCACTATTGTGCTGTCATACCTTGTAGGCAGGACATCATTGAGATCAAAAGAGTTTGTGGCTGGGAAGAATTTTCCATTTTTTCTTTGGTTACATGCAAATTGCCTTCTGGTTCCAAAGATGCTAACACGTAGGTATTGAGGCTCTTTTTTGGCACCAGATCAAGTTCTCCATCAATAATGAATTGTATAGATGTTGTCTTCAGCAATGATGCTTTGCTGTCAGTTTGTGGAGAGCAAGCTATAGTCTTGTCAATAGCCTGGGTTGTTTAGGGGTTCACATGAGACCCCTTTCACCAACAACTCAATTATATGTAAGCCAGCCAATCCAGGCACTGGAAGCTTCATTTGGTGACAAAAGATGGTTAGCTGGGACTCTGTTGCCCCCCATTCTGTGATGATAGCATTTAGATTGTCTCCAAATATGTATACATTTAAGTAAGTGTCTACTGTATTTAGTTCCTATATGACCACTCAAAAGTCTCCTAATTTAATTGACCCTCTCTCTATTCCTTTTCTTATCCCTCTTTACTTGATTATCCAGTTTAGTTACCCCTGTCTATTCTATCTATCTATCTATCTATCTATCTATCTATCTATCTATCTATCTATCTATCTAGCTATCATCTATCTAGCTATCTATCATCTATCTAGCTATCTATCATCTATCTAGCTATCCTACTTTGCTTTCTAATGGAGATCTATCTGTGTCATCACTCCACTCAGTTTCTTATTTTATATCAAACATCTGAGGTTCTGTGGATTGTGGATTAGTTACCATTTATTTAACAGCTAATATCTGAATATATCCAAATGCTATTCTGTAATTGCCATTCTAGGTCTGCATTACCTCATTTAGGATGAGTTTTTTTTCTAGTTCCATCCATTTACCTGTGAATTTCATGATTTCATTTTTACAATGGTTGAGCAATACTGCATTGTGTAAATGCATTGTATTATATTTTTTATTTATTCATTCTTCTGTTGAGGGACACCTAGGTGGTTTTTTCAGTTTCATGAGGTTCCATTTATTAATTATTGATTTTAGTTTCTGTGCTAATGGAGTTCTGTTCAGAAAATGCTTTTCTGTGCCAATGACTTCAAGGCCATTTCCCATTTTCTCTTCTATGAGG